CCCCCACCCCCACCCCCCATTTCTCTGGAACTTGCAGCAAGTCTGGACTCATTCCTGCCCAGGCTCTTCGCTGATGGACGACTCTGGGTGTTCACTGCACTTGGGTTTGGGTTCAAACTCTGACTTGTCTCCTACTCTGCTGGGTGACAGTGGGGGGGGGGCAGGGGACAGATGTCCTGACCACTCTGAGGTCATTCAGATTGCTTCTCTCTTAGAGGGGCTCTGGCCAAGCACAGCAAGCACCCTGAGGTCTGCTGGGAGGGGTGTGAGTGGAGGGATAGCAAGGGCAGTCTCCACCCCTGCATTGGGGAAATGCTGCTGCCTTGTGGTCAGTATAGGTCAGTCCCTTTTGGACCTGGAAAGAAACAGTGAAACTGATTTTAGTAACAAAAAGCTTAAATACATCCACATATCGATTCTCTTTCTTATTCTGGGTGCTGTCTGAAGTTTGGTGTGTATTGTTCTGCTTACAGCAGGTGCTGGCTTCAACGTTCTCATTTCAGGCCCTCCAGAGCCACCTTTGGTGTGCAGCAGCCGGACAGGAGAGAGTGGCTTTAGACCCTTCAGGTCGCAGTCTTTCACCTCGCCTGTGTTCCAAAGATGCTAGGGTCAGGTGTCCAGGGGCAGGCCTCAGCAAGCGCAGTGTGTGAGGCAGGAGGTGGTGGGCAATGGCGATGTGCCTTCTGTGGTGTCTGTGGCTACAACCGTGGAAGATGCCGGGGTGAATGGAGGGTCTCTGGATCAGTTTTGTGGGTGAAAAAAAAGTCCAACTTCATTCTGTGTCCAGCTGTGTAATCTCCAGCAGGTGGTTTTACTCTGGGCCCCTCCTCTGTCCCACTCCAGTGTCTCCATGGATAGAGATCATAAGTCCCACAACCAGGATCTGTGAATGGATCTTTCTTAGAAATAGGGTCTTTGCAGATGACCTAAACCCAACAACAAGTGTCCTTAGAAGAAGAGGGAAAGTTAGATAACAGCACATGTGGGGAGGTCACACCAGGTACAGACTGGAGTGATGCATCACAAGCCAAGAACACTGGGCATTCCTGGGAGCTGGAAAAAGCAGGGGATCCTCCGTGGGGGCTTAGCAGGGTGGCTAAACACACCTGCCTCTGATTACAGCACTCAGCTGTAACAGGACGAATTTCCACTGCTTTAACCTACCTAGTCTGTGGGACTTTGTCATAGTGGCCCCAGAAGACAGATCTGCCATCTCTAGGGTGTGCTGGACCCTGGAGGTGTCTGGAGATCAACTGGGCAGCTGCTGGCCACTGGCCACCCCCAGCCCCGATCAAGTGCTATGGCCTGAGGGTCACCACAGATAGCACCCCCTCCTACCCACAGTAGGTCCAAGCTACACTGTGCTGAGCCCTCTTAGGGCTTCGGCCACTACCCATGAGTCATCCCATTGACCTTTCAGCAACCCTACTATGCAGGGCTACTAATATCTCAGTGTACAATGGGGAAACTGAGGTACTGGGGCGTTAATCCCTGAATGTGTTTTCTTATCTATGAGCCAGGGAGACCAGAAGGCAAGTGAAGCCAGCAGGTCCTCTTTTTTGATTCCTGAATGGCGGTCCAGTCTTTGCGGTGGGGCCTTGGTGGCTTCCAGGAGAAGCATGGGGGCAGCTCCTGGTGTCCTTGCTTTGAGCTTCACTGAGGCCAGCGGAGGACTCAAGGCCAACTTCAGATAGACCCTTCCACTCACTCTCCATTTGTTGCCTCACTGAATCTCCTGGTTCCTACACTCCTTAGGGTGCCCAGCAGTGCACAATCTGAGCCCCAGGGCCGCAGGAGCAAGGGTAGGTGGTTGGAATCACCCTCTGGGGAAGCCTTGCTCCTGAGCTAACTGCTTCCTCCCAGCATCCACCCTGCCCCACAAACAGCGTAGAACAAGACAGCATCTGGACTGTGAGTCCCAGGAGAAGAGCAGGGTCTTGCATGGCACAGAAGTCACACTGGCCCTACCCCAATGGGGACCCTCCCCCTGTTCCCACATTGCTGGTAGTCTCAGTCAACAGCAGGTGGTGATGCCATGCTCTGGGTGGAGTCCCGAGTCAGTTTCTTCCTACTGTTCCCTAAAGCGATAGCGTGCTCTGTGTCCTTCGTTCTGCTGTGGACGGTGACAGCACACATCTGGAACACTCAGAACCGTTAAGTTCACCAGTCCCGAGGGGTCAATCAGGTTCCTGGAGACCCCTGTGCCTGCATGAGGAGAGCAGGGTCTTGAACCTTTTCCTGCTTCTGCTCATGCAACTCTTGTAGTGTGTTGGGACTTTGGGGGGGCACTGGTAGCCCTCTCCATCAGGGTGCCGCTGGGGTCCTCAGTTCAGACGATGCAGGAAAGCCTTCCCCAGTGGTATGCCCTCTAGGGACATGCACAAGCCTTTGCCTACCAGGTTAGGTTGGCTTGAAGCTGGGACGGTGGAGACAGGTGTCATTGATCAATAGAACATTGTCCCTGGGCTGGATCCTTGCTAGATACTAAATGTGGATCATCTTCTAGAACTTTTATAACATGCCCCAAAAGAGATTATTTCAAACTCCATATAAAATGGAACAACAGTAATTGAGGCTTGTCACATCTCCTGATGTGAAGGCAGATTAAATCCAGAGTCAGCCAGACCTGTGTTAGGCCTTGTCCCCCCTCTCCACTGCCCTGGCTCATGGTCACAGTATGATTCTTTTATTGTTATTATTATTATTATTATTATCATTATTATTATTATTTTATGTGTATGAGTGTATTGCCTGCATGAATGTAAGTGCATACGAGTTTTACAATGCCGGAGGACAGAAGAGGATGTTGGATCCCCTGGAAATGGAGTTATGGATGGTTATTAGCTAGCATGTGGGTGCTGGGGACTGAGCCCAGATCCTCTGCAAGAGCCATCTTTCCAGTCCCCACAGCATGATTCTTATGAGGAGGAGAGTGTGTCCTGGGATGGCAGAAGGTTTCTGGTGGGTTGGGCATACACCCGGATCCACACTGTAAAAGTGTGCGTGTGAATCTCTCCATCGGTTAAGAGGGTGGAAGTTGAGCGTGGCTGTGCACATGTAATCCCAACATGTGTGAGGGAGGCAGAGGATCAGGCGTTCAAGGCCACCCTCAGCTACATAGAGAGTGCAAGGCCAGTTGGGCTACCTGAGACCCTGTCCCAAAACACAAAAACCCTGTGCTCTGTACTTAAGGAGAGGTCTCCAAGGAGGGAATGGTACATTAGGTTTAAGCTGGACTGGCCCTGAGGTAGAACCAGGCAGGATTCTGATGGTCATGGATGGGATGGGCAGATGGGTGGGAATGTGAAATGCCAAGGGCCTGTAGAGGTTTTTTTTACTCTTCCCTGGGCTTACTGTGGGGTCCATGAGGCCCAGCTTCCAGGAGGCCTTTAGCCCCGACAGTTGCAAGGATAGTTTTGTGTAATGCTTTATTTTTCTGGAGAGGGGTTCCCCAGCTCACATAGCTGTGAGACACCACCCTCACAGTGTTCTTCAGGGTGGAAAGTCTGCTTGGGCAATTCTCTGAACTGTGCTGTCTGAGCACTGTGTACAGGAGCCTCAGGCACAGCCTGGGCCTGATGGCTCCATACTGAGGGTGCTGTGGGGGTTGGTGTGTGGCTGGCCACAGGGCCCTGCAGGTCAGACTCAGGCTGGGTCAGAGCAATGCTGCTGCGCCCACTTCCTCAGGCAAGTCCTGTGGCCTGTCAGACTCAGCTCTTCACCTGAGAGATGTTGTCCCTACCACGTCAAGCTCAGAGGTCAGCAATGCAGACGGAGTAGCACGGAGCTGGTGGAAACTGCAGAGCAGGGCTGGTCCACCAGTGGGCGCTCAGCAAAGGCTGTGGACATCAGACATCTGCGTCTGTCTAACTCGGGGTTTTCTCTCTTTCCAGGTAAATGCCAGGCCTCTGCACACAGTGGTAGGTGCCCCTGGCCCATTTGCTTTGTTTTGTAGGAACCCTGCAGCCCCCTCCACTCTGTCAAGGTGAAGCTGAGAGCTGAGGCATTGACTTCTGAAGTGGGAATTGTAGCAGGGCCGGCCTACCAGATCCAGAGAAGTCAGACCCACAAGAGAACAGCCCTGCTCAGCTCTGCCCTTGGGCAGCACTCGAGGGCTGTGGCCACCTTGTGCACGCAGCACTGCATCTGTCTGTTGTTATAGTATTTATTTTTTCTTTGGAGGGAGGTGCTGTGTTGGACACACACACACACACACACCACACACACACCACACACACACACACCACACACACCCCACACACACACCACACACACACCACACACACCCCACACACACACCACACACACACCACACACCACGCTCACACACACCACACACATACACACCCCACACCCCCCACACACACACCACACACACACCACACACCACGCTCACACACACCACACACATACACACCCCACACCCCCCACACACACACCACACACACACCACACACCACGCTCACACACACCACACACATACACACCCCACACCCCCCACACACACACCACACACACACCACACACCACGCTCACACACACCACACACATACACACCCCACACCCCCCACACACACACCACACACACACCACACACCACGCTCACACACACCACACACATACACACCCCACACCCCCCACACACACACCACACACACACCACACACCACGCTCACACACACCACACACATACACACACCACACACACCACACACACACCACACACCCTCACCCCACACACACGCCACACACACACACCACACACACACCACACACACACATACACCACACACCACACTCACACACAGACACACACACCACACACACACAACACACACACAACACACACACACACACACACCCCACACACACCCCCACACACACACACCACACACACCACACACACACACCACATACACACACACCATACACACACACACACCACACACACACACCACACAACTATATACCACACTACACACATACCATATACACACATTCACACACACACCACACAACACACACACCACACAACTATATACCACACTACACACACCACAAACACAG